AACTAGTATAGCCACCATGGAAAACAGTATGGAGTTTTCTAAAAAAAAATTAAGAATAGAATTATTGCATGACCCAGCAACCTTTCTTCGGGGTATCTACCTAAAAAGTTTGAAAACACTTATTTGCAAATATACATGCTCATTGCAGCACTATTCATGGTGGCCAAGACATGGAAACAACTGAAGCGTCCTTCCATCAATATTGGCTATAGAAGATGTGGTACATATATACAATGGCATGCCACTCAACAATAAGAAAAGTTGCAATATTGCCATTTGTGACAATATCATATAGGTGACACAGAAAGCAGTCTCAGATAGATGTAAGTGGAATAAGTCAGACAGGAAAAGTCAATAACCATGTGATTTCACTCATATGTGAGATATAAATCTGAAAGCAAGAAATGAACCAACAAGAAAAACAAACAAAAACTCATACACACTGATGACTGTATGGTGTTTACCAGAGGAAAAGGGGGTTTGAAGGTGGTAAAGAATAAAGTAGGGCAAATATATGGTGATGGGAGATTTGACTTTGGGTGGTAAAAACACAGTGCAGTATACAGGTGATGTGATATAGAACTGCACACTTGAACCTGTATAATTTTATCAGCCAATGTCACCCCAATAAATTTGAGAAAAAAAGCAAAGAAATTAGTAAGTGAGTCTGAGAAGGAATGAATGGTCATTGAATAGAAAAACTAGTAAGTAAATTGTCAAGGAAGTCAAGAGAATAAAATAATTCAAGGAGAGAGTGGTTAAATGTTTTGAAGGTAAATGAGAGTCAAAGTCCAAAACAATAAAGTTGTCACTGGGTTAGGCAACATGTAGATCACTTACAATCTTAACATAAGCAGTCTCATTGGAGTAGATGAGAAGGAGGCTTGACTGGAGTGGTGTAGAAAATCCAAGGTAAGAGCGAAACAACTGCGGGTGTGAAAGCTGTTTGGGTGATCTAGAGAAGGAAGACAGGAGAGTGCAACAGGACTGCTGCTAGACTGTTCTGAGTTTCTATCTGAGGGCTGTGGCTATAATGCAAAATGAGCCCCATAGCTCCAGCTGTATATTGTATCTCTAGTGATACTCAGCTGCTTCTGTGCAGTGGAGTGGGTGGATAGTTGGGTTTGGCTTCTGCTATATGAAAACGTGGATGAGAGAGCTGAAGGAGTTAAATATATTTGCAAAGGTTGAGGGGAATCTAAAGTTGGATCCCGGACAGATGGGTTTTGGTGGAAATGAGGACTCTAGGGAAATGGCAGATAGTAAGAAAGTAAGAGAGGTCAATGGACTCTAGGTCTTGGTGGAGTCAAAGAACTGATTGAATATTAAGATTGCTGAATGAATAGAAATCAGCCAGATAGCGTAGGCAGAACTGTTACATGTGGGAAGCTGCTAGGTTAGTGAAGGGTATTTTTATATGATTATGTCTCACCCATTGCTTATATCTTCTTTTGGAATAATCAAGTTCTCGAGTGTATTATTCTAGTGACAGTTATCATAAGCTGCAGGGGAGCACACAGATTTTTGAATACCCCATCTGCTAAGCAGCAGAATTCCAATAAAACAGTCTAAGCATGTAACATTAATAGCAGCTTTAAACAAAATTAATCTTTTAAATTTATTTATTTATTTATTTATTTAATACTTACCTAAGGACAGTTTCATTTGCTTTGAGAGAGAGAGAGAAGAAGGGAGAGAGGACGGGGGAAACATCAATGAGAGAGAAGCATCGACTGGTTGCCTCCATAGGCATCCAGATGAGGGGCCTGTGTGGGGACCTGAGGCCAGGGGCTGTAGGCCTCCAGACCAGGGGCCACATGAGTCCTCACCTAGATTGCGGATGAACCCCGGCAACCTTTTCCTTATGGGACAACGTGCCAACCTCTAAGCCACACCAGCTGGGGCTAAACAAAAATTAATGTTTTGAAAAATAAAAAAGAGAAACAAATATCATTTTAAATGAAAAATTTTCCCTTTCTCTACTTAGAACACTTCTGACACCAAATGTAGGGGTTTTATTCCACACCAAGAAATTCTCCAATTTTCTGGACACCAACTAGGTGCCCTGCAATTCAGTTTGATTCTGGTACTAACTACCCAGAGTTAGCATAGACCCCACAGGTTAAGAGCTTAGTCCCACAAGAATACCTCCCACTTCAGACACCAGCTGACAGTCCCAGGTTGTCACCTTTTCTCATACCAACTGGCTACAATTTGGGGGTTCCCACAACACCATCCTCAGTTATTTGCTGTAACAGCCCACAGAACTCAGGGAAACACTTCACTTACTATAATCAGTTTATTATAAAGGATACAACTTGGGGACAGCTAAACGGAAGAGATGCATAGGGCCAGGTATGAGAGAAGGGGTGCAGCGCTTCCCTGTTCTCTCCAGGTACATCATTCTTCCAGCACCCTGCTGTGTTCACCAACCCAGAAGCTCTCCAAAATCATTGTTGAGGTTTTATTTTTAAACGGAGGTTTCATTAACATACGTATGATTGATTGACCATTGCTGATGAACTCTTCCAGCCCCTCTTCCCTTGTGTAAGTGGAGTGGTGTGGGTTTGAAAATTACAACCTTGTATTTATGCCTTGGTCTTTCTGGAGGCAGCGCCAATCCTGAAGCTATCTAGGGAGGCGCAACCATGTCATCTCATTAGCACAGAAAGATACTCTTATCACTCTGGGGATTCCAATGATCTTAGAAGCTCATGTCAGAAACCAAAGTCAAAGATCAAATATTAAAACAAAAGATGCTCCTAGCACCCTAACACTCAGGAAATTATTGGGTTTGCCAAAAAGTTTGTTTTTCTGTAAGATGGTTCTAGTAGTGCTTAGTTGTCTTTAACTTCATTCAATACAATTTTGTTAGATTATGACAACTGTCCTATCAGTGTGCATTTAAAAAAAACCTTACCTAAATTGAATTTTTGTGTAACCATTTAAATATTGAAGATGGAAGAAAATATTCATTTTTGGCATATATTATGATTTATTATTTAAAGAAAGGTGAAACAATTGAAACACACGAAAAGATTTGTGCAGTGTATGGAGACAGTTATGGGACAGATTGAACATGTCAAAAGTGGCTTGGGAAGTTTCATGCTGGAGATTTCTTGCTGGATGACGTTGCATGGAGAGAGACCAGTTGAAGTTGACAGTGACCAAATCAAGACATTGATTGAGAACAATCAATGTTATACCATGTGGGATACAGCTGACATACTCAAAATTTCTAAATCAATAAAGTTATTTGTGAAGATGAAAAAATATGTCTTTTATTTTACAAAAATACTCCAAAACATTTGGACTTTTTGGCCAACCCAGTACAAGGGTTTTAGAAGCTCTGTGTCTAGATCTTGGGGTGGAGACCAAATATGTATTTATTATGTCCCACAGTTGTATCACTCTAGTCTGAGGTGTCCAACATTTTGTTGCCTCTGGGCCACACCAGAAGAAGAGTCATCTTGGGCCACACATTACATACAGAAACACTACAAAAACTGATGAGCGAAAAAAAAGGTTTTAAGTACATTTATGATTTTGTGTTATGCCACATTCATAGCCATCATGGGCCACATTCAGCCCACAGGCTGCGGGTTGGAAATCCCTACTAGTCGATGAAGGTATTTCCCATATTGCCTGAAAACCATACACCTGTGTCTGGAAAGATAGGAAAGTGTGACCTTTGTTATGTTGCCCTGGAAGTAGTTAACTGCCCTATTATCAATATTGATTAATAATGTACTAGCTGTAGGCATGATTGTTTTGCAGTACTATAGGCACACACGGTAAAAATAGAACATGTTTGGAATAGAATATGTAATGTAAAATATTATATAGAATATTATATTATGTAGAATATGTAATATAAAAATATTACATCACACAATATTTTATACCTTACAAAACACTATTACATTAACTCATTTGAGAATATTTGCTGCATCTTTTCAAAAGATCAGTAAATCCTTTCCAATAAACACTCTATTCACTGCTCCATAGATTTCAGTCCCACCCATGCCACCCAAGGTTAGTTGCTTTATTCTCTCCAGTTCCCTACTTAAACAATATTAAGACTTTTCTCTTCTTCCCAGGATAAAAGTCAAATCTCTTAGGCTGTGAATACTAGCAGAATGGGAGGATTCTAAAGCTGTGATTTTTGAGTTTAAATAATGACATCGTTTCAGTTCTAAGTCCACGTCCTTGTTTTGGCAGGCTGTTTATCCATGACCTCATTTTTCCTTAATTTAAAAAACAGCCACATTAATGCTGATTTACTTCGTATATCTGTTACCAGAATATGATTTAAGATTCCTTAAAATGGGCCAAACATGGTTTTTAGAAAGGTAAAGTACAACATGTTAGCGACATCAGTCCATTAAATAATGTTGCTATAGCCTAAAAAAGACAACTCCAAACTTCTCTTTGCTAATTACAATTCCAGTTTCTTTCTAGCCTTTCTTCTAACTTTGTACTTTCTGTTTGGCTGAAATTGGAAGCAGGAAGAAATTAGGGATAAGAACTTAAGGGTCGCAGAGGGCGCCGAAGCCCAGCAGACTGGTTAATCATATCTGTGTTTCTCTCCTTTGCGTTCACCAAAGCGCTTCCAACAGAAATGAGGACCCAGTCCAGTCTCAGTGCAGTCACAATGACAAATTTCACAAAGCAGCCTGAGGTGCTGTAGCAAGGTACCTATCTCCGAGCTCCGCGGTCAGGGACACCCCCAACTGGGCCCCAGGGTTTCTCAACCATCTCCCTGGCAGGCACGCGGTCGGCTCTCAGTGCGACCTCTGACGGACAGCGAGCTTACGCTCAGTGGCCACCGTTTTTTTGCCGGACCACCGGAAGGAGCAGCGGAGCCCGTACCCAGCCGCTTGCCCATCACGCGGTCACGCACTTCACGCTGCTTCCGATTGGCGCGGGGCTGGGGCAGGCCCTTTCCAGCCCCACCCCCCGAGGATGGACAGGCTGGATGGGCGGGGTGGCGCCAGGCGGCCCGCCCAGCTGTCAGTTACTGGGGCGGCCCGGCGGGCGGGCGGATGCTCGCTGGCAACCTAGTCGCTGGCTGGCGCGCTCCCTCTCACCGCCTGTAGGGAAGTCCGGGCCGCTCCAGCGGTCACCGCTACATTCTCGCCCGGACCTCCTCCTTTGGTCCCCTCCTGGCTCAGTCCCTTCCTCCTGCGCACCCTTGAGTAGTCAGTGGCCCGGCGCAGGGTCCGGAGAGTCACCGCTGCGGCGCCGGGTGGTGTTTAAACCATGTTTAGGAGGATTTTGCAGAGGGTAAGAGAGTGAAACCGCCTTTCTGACAGCACGTGAGCGGGAGAGCCCAAGCACAGGGCTGTAGCTGGGGCGTCCCGGTGTCCCGTCTTCTCAGCGGGCTCCTTCCTTCCCTAGGCCCTGCTGCCTGGGAGGCGATTAGGCCTCGGTTGTCCGCCCCAGGGTCGGGCTGTGGGGGTGGGGAGAGTGGCCGGGGCGGCGGCGGGGCGACAGGCCGGAGCCCCGGGCCTGGAGCCCAGTCTTTGGTCCCACGCGCCCAGGTCAGCCGCCCCGCTCTGGCTCGGGGCTGTCAGTGCCAGAGAGGGCGGCGGGCGGGAGGGTGTGGTACCAGCACGTTCCTCCCAGATCCTGGAATGGCAGTGTAAATGGGGAGTTTGCGCCTGTGGGACCCGCCGTCCATCTGCCGGGCTAGTGATCGCCCGGTGGGAGAGCGCGGGAGGCTTGCTTAGCCTTAACCCCACTCTCCTCGCCCCCCGTGTCCCCAACTTAAACCTCACACACCTGCTACACAGGGCTTCCGATTCGCATCTGGACAATGTTGGCCTAGCATGGGCCCAATCGTGCTGCCGACACTTACAGGCAAAGTCAGCTGAGAAAGAAGATATTACTCACTGTTGGAAACTTTTTTTTCCAATTAAAAATGTATTCTCTCCTCCCAGTCAGTACCTTTTCTGAGCTATCCAGGAATAAATCCACAGTAAGCTTTGTCCAGTGGTATTCATTTACTCTTCCACTTTCTGCCAGTGCTATCTGTATTTGAATCTGGAAACACCCCTTAAGATAGAAAGATGAGAGCATTGGAAAGCTGTAGGTGTATTGTTTAGGAATCAGTTCCTATAATAAATAAAATCTGTTTTTCTATAAGAGTTACTGTACTAAATTTTTGTTGTTTTGGACGGCTTCTTTTTTATTTTGGAGACTAATAGGGTGCACCAAAATGTAAATGATTGTGTAGTGGGTGCTGAGCCCATTTGTTGGTTATTGAGTGAGTAGGATAACTAATTCAAAAACAGAAGAAATTAGTGAATTTGTGGTATTTAGCCCGTGTGCTAAGACAGTTGAAGCCTTCTTGCTTTTGCATAGCTTTTGTGAAATGTTCAAGTAATGAGAAACTTGATCATATATCAGGTGTAGAAATAGTTAACTCCTGTATATGCCACCCTTTATTGACATTTGATGATTTTTTGGTAGTGGTTTTGTCAGATTTTTTTTTAACATCTTAATAAGCTGGTGATTTTGGCAGTGGCCAGGGTGTGCCCTTTGCTCTTCCTCTTGGTTCCTGTGTTCAACAGTAAAGACATCTGTGCGTGATATACTTGTAGTACTCAGAGATTTTTCTTTCATTGGACCTAGAGGAATGGATTACCTCATGCCTCAGATTTTTTGTCATAGTTCCACAACTGAAAATTAGTTTGCCTGTGGTTTCTTTTAAAGTTCAGTTTTCAGAAATAATGGGATGCCTTCTAGTACTCTTAATGTTGGTAAGCATTACAGTTACATAAAGATAATTTTTAGTGTTGGTGCATACACATCAACTGTTACAGAAGTTTCAGTTGAAACTACAAAATTTGAATTTATTCTGGTTATTGATGAGATGTGAATCATTGCATATGAATAAGTTAATTGACAGTTGAGTTCCTTGACCATGGCAGTATTGACATTTGTGACTGGATAATTCTTTATTTTAAGTGGGCTGTTCTTTGCACTGTGAGATATTTAACAGCGTCCCTGTCTTCTACCTGTTAGATGCCAGTAGTATCCGCTCCCCCAAATCCCCTTCCCCTTGTGTGACAACCAAGACTTTACCAAATGTCCTCTAGGGGCTAAGTTGCCCCTGGTTTAGAACCACTGTGTTAAATGTATATACTCTTTTATAGGCAAGTTTGAATTGTTTCTCAGTCAACTACTTAACTTTTTTTTTTTTTCAGTGTACTTATATTGAGTGTCAGTAAATGCCAGTTATATAGGGGCTGGGAAACAGTTAAATTAAAATATGGGTCCTCCCTGTAGAACTCACAACTTGTTTGTGGAAGTGGACATTTAATAGTAATTACAATACTATGTAATAGAAGAGTGAAGAGTGCCCTGGGAGCCACTTTGTAGGAGAGTGTTGGGACAGTCATGAAAAACTTCTGGAAGTAGGAAATATTCGAAGCTCAAAAGAGGGAATGGCATGTCTAGCAGAGGGAACTGCAAATACCAAGATACAGAGTCATAAAAGGGTGGGTAATATTATGGGGAACATCAACAATTAAGTTTAGGAAGTGAAATGATGTCTGGGGATTGGCGGGTGATGGTGCTGCAGAGGTAGCTACAGACCAGATCTGGAGAGTCCTGTAATGCCTTCCAGGGCTCATCTTTATCTTGTAGATGGGTCAGTGTTAATGCTCAGCATTTAGTAGGGGCATTTTGATAAAAGCCTTAAAGAAATCTTATGATTTTATTAATATTTTTGAACCTAGACTACATATTTAATTCCACAGGTGATATTTATTAACAAGTATAAGTGGGATCCTTAAATTATGTAACTAGTAACCATTTTATTTTATCCCACTTTAATAATCTTTTCAGTGGAAGTATTAAGATATAGAATTAAAACTAAAGTTGCTGATTTAGAGATTTGTTTGAAATGGTCTCCATGCTTTGAAATTATATTGTATTCCTTTAATATTATGTTTTTAGATGACCATTTCATTTTAACTGTTGTATTTTCTTTTAATAGTGTCCTTTAAATAGAATTTTTGAAAGAAGAAATGACAATGTGCTTAAAATCCATTATAATTCAGAGTCTTTGAACATAACCAGGTCCCAGGGTACTTTACAGAAGATTTAGTGTCTGATTCCCTTCCTCCTGCTGCTTCTCCTCCTCCTTCTAAAGAGTATCTCTCTGAGGTTTGAAAGAGTCTGAAAAAAATTGAGGTGTCTTCTCTATGTATGTATTGACTATTTTACTAATAGTCCTTTGAAGAGAAATGTGAATTTAAAGTGCTAGATGGCCAGAAACTTGATCAGCATTTAGTAGTTTAGGCAGTTTATAAATTTCATTGCAATTTCTTTCTTAAGTAACTTACTGTGATTTAACAGTGTATGTGATGTATTTTTACTGGTATATATCAATAATATTGCTAGGGAAAATGGATTTAATTATCCTAGAATTGTAGAAATAGGAGGCTTCTATGGTCAACAGGTCTATCTGATTTAAAAGATGAGGAAGTAGAAGCAGAGAGATTCAGTGATTTATCTAAGGCACACAGTTAGTAGATGTCAAAGCAGACTACAGTCAAATTTTTCAACTCCTAACCTATTTCTCTTTTTGGTGTCTTGTTGCTGGGGCCCTTCTCCCCACCCCTGGATCCCTCCCTACCCCCTCCTTCTGCCCCCCTCCCCATCAACTGATATAGTTAAGACTGTGCTAGTCACTGTGGAAGATATAGGAAAAATATGAGATCTGACCTCTCCCCAAGGAACTTATATGATTAAGTGCCAAAGTAAATGATACAGCCAATGAAGGCTATAGTAGCACAGAGGAGGAAAGATGAAAATGAACCTGTGTGAGTGGGAAGTCTCCTTGGAGAAAATGGGCATACAAAAATGAGTTTTGAAGAGTATTAGAAGAGGAAAAGTTTCCTTGTAGGAAGGAGTTACAGTATAAGCAAAGACTCAGATGGGAATGAGTACATTCTTGCTGCCCACCCTTCTTCCTTTGCATATTGCCTTTGAATAAACAAATATTTATAACACTCTGTATTAGGTACTAGGGATACAATAAAGACCCAACCCCTACCCTTTGGGAAGCTTAAAAGCAAGTGATTTTTAGAGAGAGAGATATGCTTAGAATTTGAGAGAGACAAAGAAATTGAGAGACAAATTTACAAAAATAGTGTGCTACCCCATTTTGGAGATTCTTGTCTAGCTCAGCCCTGTCCAATGCAGATGAGCCACACATGTAATTTAAAGTTTCTAGTAGCCACACTTTTAAAAATTAGAAAGAGGTAAAATTAATTTTAAAAACATATTTCCTTTGACCTAATACATCTAATATTTTCACATGTAATCAATATAAAAATTATTAATGAGATACCTTACATTCTTTTTTGTACTAAGTTTTTGAAATCTGGTATATTTTTTGCACTAAAAGTACATAGTAATTTGGACTAATCATATTTCAGCTGTTCAACAGCCTCATTTAGCTAGTAGCTACTGTACTGGATTATGCAGGTTTAGCTGAATACATATATAATTTTTAACTTTTTATTTAGAATGAATTTCAAGCCTACAAAAAGTTTCAAGAATAAAACATTGGGCTGGCCAAAAGTCAGGGTTTTTTTTTTTTGGTAGAATAAAAGACACACTTTTCATTTTTACCAATAACTTTATTGATTTGGATATTTTGAGTATGTTGGCTATCTCTTGCATGGTATAACGTTAATGGTTCTCATTGTCTTGATTTGGTCACTATCAGCTTCAACTGGTCTACCTGACTGTGGAGCATCATCCAGCGAGAACTCTCTAGCATGAAACTTCAGAAACCACTTTTGACATGTTCAGTCACTCCCAGCACTGTCTCCATACATTGCATGAATCTTTTTTTTGCATTTCTGTTGCATTTTTACCTTTCTTGAAATAATAAATCATAATATATGCTGAAAATGTTGCATATTTGTTACAGAACAGACCAGGGGGGTGCGCATGATATACTGTTACCAAATGGACCCACCCTTGTGCTTCAGTGTCCCTCTCCTACCCCCTGTACTAGGTTTACCTCGCCCGTGGGCAGGCAAAGACATCTCTCAATGCCAGAGATTGGTGAAAAGGGAAGGGATTAGTTATTTTAAAAGTTATACAGACTTAGAGTAATGCCTTAATGTTTTCATTAAAAATATTAAAGTCCTTTGGAATGTTCACAAATGCACAGTCCTTCCTTTTCCCCTTTGCCCTGTCCAGGGTACCATATCTCAGAAAAAGAAGTAGAAGTCCGTGGTTCAGGCAGCCCCTTGGTTCTG